CCCTCTCCCTCAATCCCCCGTGACAACCCATTCAGGCGTCTAAATTACTACTTATATCAAATAGCAGTCATGCCTCAATTAAAATGCCTTTGGTGTGTCAGTCAAACTTCGTGTACGTGATGCACTTACATTTTAAAACTCCTCTTCCAGGGCTCATATTTCTTGGGTAAAAGTAATGGTTTGCACAGCAGCTGGCCTCACACGACAAAGATAACGATAAATAGCGTGCTCTCGTTTTGACAGATCAGTTACGTAGTGTAACCTACGCAACGATATAGTGCGGGAGTAGATCTGATAGAGAACCCCCGTGAATTTATCGACCCGTGTTCACGAACCGTTTTATTTGGGTAAAAAATCGATGTGAATTGGTTCGTCAGCATTGTGTAGTTGTAGAAAGATTTACTCTCTGTTAAGGCCCAGCTGTCATGTGGAGCCGAGTGAGTTTGAACGCGTCGTTTTTTTAAAACTTTAAAACTTATAAAAAGAAGAGATTAACTTGTTTTTCCAGTTTCTCGAGCGAGGGTTTGAAGGTTGCCAATGTCAGGTCCTACTAGTTTCGTAAGATTAACGTTTTGTCTCTAATTTTTTGGTCAAGGCTAATTCCTAAGTTTGTTACGTTACATCTCGCGGATTTTCGACGAAAGGTCCTTATGTTTTAGGCAGTTTTCAGGAATTACTTATCTTAGTAGTGCTGTCGCCCTATGTACCTGTCGGTCGGTATAGGGGGAGAGTATGTAAATAAGTTAGTAGTGACAATCTGGGTTTTAGTGCAGTTGACCCAAATATGTGTGTATCTCTCTGTGTGCGTGCGTGCGTGTGTGTGCGTATGTACGTGCGTGCGTAGGTGCGTGCATGTGTGCATGCGCGTGTGTGTACATATGATGTAATATATCATTGTGTAGTAAGACGCTAGATTATTACGAAAACTTCTTCAGTAAAGATCTCTGAGCTGCGTACCTTTGGGAATCCTGTCTCGAAGCCGTCGAAATAGCCTCTATGCAAAAGGTAGTTGGGACACAAAGCCGACACTATAATACATGTACTCCGGGAACTGCACCGTGTCTACGTCAGGCAAAGCAACGCCAACAACCCCTCTTCGTCGCTCTTTTCGACATCATGTTTACATTGTGGTTAAGCCTTGGTTCACGCCGGTCGCAACACTGGAGAAGGGTAATCTGTAGGTCTTGCTGCTGCTTAAATTGCCTTCTGTATGTTGCGAAGGAATGCGATAGGCCTTCCTACTCCGCCATTTCTCAAAAGTGCAATGACTTGTATCGTAACCTGATCACCTCGGTGTTGACCGTGCTGTGTTTCCTTCCCGTCCTGGAGTTAACGACAATGTGATGCACAGTTACATGCTCATTTAATGACTGTGCTTTCTTAAAAACACATGTGCGTGCACGCACAACACGCTCGCTCACACACACATGGACTGAAGAAAGGTGGTCGTAAAATACATGTACTTTTACCTTTTGTTTTCACAATCCCCTTTCCCATTTAACCAATACCCCCCCCCCCCCGAAAAAAAAGTAATGAACAATTATAAAAGCATGAAACAAAAAACAAAACACC